ACTTTTAACAGCTCATTGTCAAAAACTTGCGAAACACTGACGTATTAGTAAGCAGTTATTGACAGAGGTTGCTGCCAGAACAAAAGCAGTTTCATTGCGTGTCTGACATCCTATCACCGCTGAACAATAAATAGGTGTGACTATTTTTAGACATGTTGTCGAAACAAATGAATAGGATTAGGAACAATGCCGTTTTGGACCAGCTTGTTGAAACAAAGTCAGTCAAGGTCTTGTTGAATTGGGGGTGCAATTAGTAATAGGAACTTTTCATGTTTTCAATTTTTGTTGAGAACTCTTTAACCCCGAAGCCGAAATCGGGGATGTGGTTACTATTACGTATGCGGTTTATATAAGGATTTTAACAGTACGAAAGCTAGATCAATAATATTTGGTTTTGTTCTTCTGACAGGTTCGAGTAGATGTTCTAGAATCTTTGAATAACAATTTTCTTCAGACATTAAACAGTGCTTGGAATGACCATCAAACATCTATGGTGATGATTAGAGATATACTTATGTATATGGTAAGTTCATCTAGTTACAATGATAAAATTTTACGTTGTCTTTAAAAATTTTAATTTTTGAATATGCTAAAAATTATTGCAATGTAAATATTTATATTCGTCACATGACCTCATGATTATTTCATTCCATCTTGTAGGATCGGGTTTATGTCCAACAGAATAATGTAGAAAATGTGTACAACTTAGGTTTGATACTGTTTCGAGACCTTGTGGTCCGGTATGGCTGTATTAGAGATCATCTCCGACAAACCTTACTAGATATGGTTGCTAGAGAAAGAAGAGGTGAAGTTGTTGACAGGTAAAAATATGAAAATCATCAAATGTAAATTTGGAACTTATTTGAATGCACCACTTCTGTAATTCTTTTATTAAAATTATTAAAAATATTTATTTTTCAGGGGATCTGTGAAAAATGCCTGTCAAATGCTAATGGTGCTTGGTATTGATTCAAGAGCAGTGTATGAAGAAGACTTTGAAAGTCCCTTCTTGGACCAGTCAGCAGATTTTTATAGGGTATGTAACATTAGTTAATGTGTAATTTTTTTAAATAGTTAAAATACATTATCATGACTGACTCAAAATGTGTTTTTTTCTAATTAATGTTTTTCTTCAGTTGGAAAGCCAGAACTTTTTAGCAGAAAACAGTGCTTCAGTTTATATAAAGAAAGTAGAAGCCAGAATAAATGAAGAAGCAGAAAGGGCTACACATTATCTGGATAAATCCACAGAAGAACCAATTGTAAAGGTAGGTAATGGTTATATTTGTTGATTCTACTGAAGCTTAGTTCCACTGCTTGTTTCCTTGCATGTGCATTATTCAGTGGTTTATATTTGAGTGATATATGACTGTATTTACAGGCACTTACTATTCTTATGATGATTTCATGTTCATTTTTGTTATCAGGTTTTGGAGTTAGAGCTGATATGTAAACATATGAAAACAATTGTGGATGTAAGTATGTTTTATGTTGTCCTGTATTTAATACATTGCTGGTCCACACTGTGATGTCTACCTTGATGCAATAAAATGATTCAATTGAAATTTGGTGATAATCAAAATTTTGAAAAACTTGAAATGAGTGCAAGCTGCAACAGCAGGCAGTGCTCTTTCGATTAATTTACAGAAGAAAATAAGCATAATAATTCATAAAAAAATGTTGAAATTACAGCAGTGACACCCTGGGAGATCACAAGACAAAAACAACTTTGTTGATGACAATGCCGCTTAGATGACCTTAGTCAGGTTTGACCAAACATGAACAAATATAAGCTTTAAAATAGTGTCTTCTGTTGCCATACACATGAAATCTGTTGTCATATTTCTTTATAACCCTTAATCTGTCAGGAAATATGACTAAAAAAATCAAAAGATATAGAATGTAGAAAACTTGTACCTGGCAAATTGAAAATTGTCAGAAATTAACCATGCTGATTGAAATTAGACCCAATATTCTAGTTGCAGACAGTATAAACTATCTTTACACTGGGATTTATACTGGAGGTTATTCATTGCTGTGCTGATGTTTGCTCAAAAAAATTAATTTAATAAATAAATAAAAATACCTTCTTTTTTTAGATGGAAAATTCAGGTGTTGTGCACATGTTGAAGAATAAAAAAACAGATGGTAAGTGCTGTTCAGATGAAATGTACACTTCTGATTACACTACACTACCCGAAAACTTATAAGTGTTCCTATAATTATGATTACGGACTGGGATCCAAATAACATGTGAGAAATATCTTACAAATATTGGTCAGTCTTATGCAATATACAGAAATGCTTTATGTAGATTAAGGATCTCGTCCCATGTACTACAAATTGAAAAGGGTAGGGCCAGTGGTACTCCACGTAACCAGAGGTTGTGTCCTTTTGGCTGTAATGTAATTGAGGACGAATATCACTTTACATTAGTTTGTCCCAAATATAACTCCCTAAGGTTGAAGTTTATTGCACAGTATTACTACTCCCCACCTACAGAGATAAAGTTTATTTCATTATTTCAGAATCAAACCCCATATATACAATTAAACCTTGGTAAATTTATATTGTATAGTTTTCAAGTACGTCAGCTTATGCTTGAAGAGAACACTTAATTATGCAAATGTTATGTATTATGATTTTATATTTGTTTTTCTTTACTTGTTTCTGCGACCATTCCAATCTAATTTATTATGTATTTATTTGTATCTGTACATAAGGCCAATGGCCACAGTACGAAATAAAGATATATATATATATATAATTATGATTACAAATCATTTGAATTGGTGTATGATTTAACGATTAAAAGGAAATTCATTGAAGTAAAATAGTTACAATGGTCAACAGTATGACAATTCTAAATTGTACAACCAACATATTATGTAAAAAAAGTCAGCACAAAATGGACTGGCTCCCATATAGATCTGCTTTTTAAAGTTTGTATGTGTATACTTTTTACTTGTTTAGACCTGGCCTGTATGTATAAGTTATTCATCAGAGTTCAAGAAGGTTTAAAAACAATGTGTCAATGTGTTAGTGGTTATTTACGAGAACAAGGTAAAGCATTAGTTACTGAAGAAGAAGGAAGTAAAAATGCCATCCAATACGTGCAGGTATGTTTTACAGGCAGCAAGGATTGCCATCAATAATGACACAATTCTATCTTGATATTGATTCACACATCCTTGAATCACAATGCAAGACATCAGTGTTTATTCGCGTCATTTAGCATAACACTGTGTATCAAAATAGTCCCTGTTAGAAAAAATCCACAACAGAATCTAGTAACTTTTGGTTCCGTGCATGTGTCTGTCTGGAGTCATTTTCTCTGACGTACCTTGACCAATTTGGTTGTAAGTTTCTATGTAATGACAAGTCATAATAGTTGATAGGTGCATTTCAAGTGATTTTGACTGAATGGTGGCCATTTCAGTCCCCAAAAATTGTATTTTGAATGTGAAATCATCTGTTTTCAGAGATGCCTTGACCTATTTTCTTCAAACTAGTTATGAAGGTTGTTTATATTGAATTATTGATGCTCATAATTTGTTTGTGTGTGTGACAATTTTGTTTTTCAGTTTTGTATTACTATTTATTTCTGTTTTGGCTGATTTGGTTCTAAGTTTGTACAAGGCCTAGTATCAAGTAATATTTGAATTTAAGCACTTTTAACCAAATGGTGGGTACTCTAATCCTCAAAATTGTTGAAATTTAAAATATAATTCAGTCTTCTTTCCGGGACATACAGAATTGTACAGGTAATTATTTGCTTGATGAGATGAGAATGTGAAATGCACAATGGTGCCATCAAATACTGTAAAATTTTAGCTGGAATTAATTTTCGCTGAAAAGAATCTTTGGGTGTTTTGTATGGAATTTATCTTCACTGATTTTTGATGAGTTGAATGTGAAATATAGGAAAAAATTATATTTGCTAGATTTTATTACCGTAAAATTCCTAATTGAGGCCGCGGCTTTAATTAAAATTCATTTTTTCAATGGACGAATTCAGATGCGTGAAGTCTTGGTGCGGCTTTAATTAGAGCATTCACTTCGGTAACAGTGGGAAATTTTTTCAAAAAACATAGGCCAGAAGGGATAATGATATGCTAATGAGATGCACGTTCGGATTTTTACACACAGACAAACTTGTACACAAACGAAATTTCACACTGTATAACATACTGCACAATAAATAATATCTACAAATAGATTTGTATGCATTTGCAGATTACGGTACTGTATACTACAATCTCTTGAATAGACTAATTCGTTAGCACCAGTATAGGTCACAACTGAGAAACAGCCATCTGACACAGTCGATTGCGTTCGACTACTGGCATGTTCGACTTCCGGCAGAGTGACTGTACATTCTATGTTTAATTTAGACATTGGGGAAATTAAAATAAAACATGATAAAAAAAAAAATACTCAGTATATTATTTAATGTAATATATATTTATTTTCTTGTTAATTTTTTTTTTGGCTCCGCTGTCGACTTTGTCAAGCGGAGCTTATTAGTCCCCGTTTGGACGTAGTTCGAAAACGGGGACTTATGTTTTGCCCTGTGTGCGTCTGTGCGTGCGTCTGTCCGTCCGTCCGTGCGTGCGTCCGTGATCACCTGTATCTCGAACATGCATGGACCGATTAAGTTCAAACTTCACTCATACATCACACATTATATGGGACATATGCACATGCATTTTTTTCATGATCCAATTAACGATAGTCGAATAGCGGCCATTTTAAGGCCGAAAATGCATCAAAATCACGTCTTTTTTTTTTTTTGGATCGGGCTTGAAATGGCCGACTGGCGGCCATTTTGTTTTAAAGAATTCAGTTCTGGATCCGTATCTGAGACATGCTTGGATTGATCGAGTTCAAACTTCACACACACAAGGTACATCATGTCACAAATATGTATGTGCATTTGTTTCATGATCTCATTAACGATAGCCAAATGGCGGTCACTTTAAGGCCGAAAATGCATTGAAATCACACATTTTCACCATTCCGGACCCGGATCTCAGTCATGCATGGACGGATTTCAGTCAAATTTGGTACATACATTAAACATAATAGGACCATGATGCACGTTATTTTTTTTTTCCGAATCAAGTTTGAAATGGCTGACTGGCGGCCATTTTGTTTTAAAGAATTCAGTTCTGGATCCGTATCCAAGACATGTCTGGATTGATCAAGTTCAAACTAAACTCATACATCACACATTATATGGGACATATGCACATGCATTTTTTTCATGATCCGATTAACGATAGCCGAATAGCGACTATTTTAAGCCGAAAATGCATCAAATCACACATTTTCACCATTCCGGACCCGGATCTCAGTTATGCATAGACGGATTTC